GAGTGACTGCTGAGCTGTGAGTCATATGCCTTTATTTTTTTTATGAATGCAATCCCAACAGTTACAATAGGCAGATGGTGCCTGGCCTGTGGAAGTCAATTGACTTTAGGCAGGTTCATCACAGCCTGATATACAGAGAGCTGATATACAGCATGTCCTGAAAAACAAAACTGAAGCTTAAATTGTAAACCCTAAAATCAGCAAATAGTTTGAATTTCAAATATAATTTATGGTGTTTTGCCTTTCTTATTTTCCACTGTTCAACACTGGGCCTGAAAACAGACAAAAACAGGGCTAAATAAATAAAAAAGTAATCTTAAAAACACTTGATCCTAGAGACTTCTTTCTTTTCTTCATGAAAATAAAAGGTGAATGCCAAAGACATCTTTGAGCTTCCAGTATTTACTGTTGCAATTAAATGATTGCCATTATATTAATAGTGAGAGCCGCAAGAGAAAAGTTTCTTATTAAAATTGCCATTTCCATCTTCTTTTTCAAGCAAGAGATTTGCTTAAGTTCCATGGACGAGAGGAAAACATACAATTTGCTCCTTTGTATTCTCTCTTTTCCTGTTTCTGTACAAAAGTATTCAACCACACCTGAATTATCCTATAAACAACAGAAAGAATACACAGCTGTAACAGGAGAGTCAGTCTGTGTACTCCAACCACTATGATCAAGCCTATCAACTACATTATAGAAGAGTTTACTTTTGCTGAATTGTTATGTTCTGGTTTAGAGATATCTTTTCACCCCTGAAGAAAACATCAAAAGATTGTAGGCTTTGACATTCACATCCAGGATAAGTTTCAAAGTCTTTCATCAAGCACTGAAACAGGATTAGCACCAGAAAGTATTTAACAGTCTCTACCTGACCAGAGAAGAAACAGAGGGACCTTTGGCTTAGCCAGAATCTATAAAATGTGATTCTGAATTTCAAGATATCACACATTTAAAATGGAATTCTTCAGCGTTCTTTGGGAAGGTTGACTTTAAAATTATGAATTGACAAAGAGCTGATGAAGAGTCTGACTGAAGATAATGTCGAAATCCAGAAACAAAATAATTAAACTAATAGTTAGGAAGGACTGGCTGGGAGAGCCAATTTACCAAGTTAAGATGGACTTAAAAAAGTTTCAGGTCAGAAAGGAAACACTGCTTTTCAATTACATTTCCAAATATTACCCTTGTTTCAACTTACAGTGTATTAGAGGAGTGGATAAATTTAGTCTTTAAATTCATTTCTTTCCTTACAGAAACAGAGAACAAAATGTTTACTGGTTTGCAGTTCAGCAGTGATGGCCCCAAGCTTGGCCTCTTTTTAGTCACTGAAATGTATGGAACTGTTTTCAAGAAATCCACATAATCTGGAAGCAAAAGTGACAAAACAATGTCACTGAATTTGCCTTTATTCAAAAACACTGCAAAGGTGGTTTGTTTTCTTCAAGAAGTCAGACCTGGATGGTGGCATTTTAATTGCTGAATTTTCCTAGCTTTTATCATTGGTTCCAAATGATGTATTTAGTTCTAAAACTCAGTTCAGTATTGCTGGAAAACTGGGAAGATGCTGTGCTGCAGCTGAAGCCACGAAACACATCCAGTTCACAAAATGAACTCCTGTATGCTTAAAAACTGCAATAGTTAAACAGTGAAAAATAAAAAATTCTTGAAATAATATTTGAAATAAGGTAACTGCTTGTAGAAAATGGATGCAGAACTCCTGCAGCTTTTGAACAGGCAAAACATGAAAATGTGCCTATAAGGCACAGAACTGCCTTTTTATAAAGCTGCATGAGCATGACAAAATTAACAATTTCAACTTTTCAAGAATTAATTTAAAATACATTTTGCATTATTCTTTTAGTTATTTAAATGATATTTCTTAACAGCATTAGAACACTGTGGATCCTATCAGAAAGACATAAAACAGTCCTGTTCAAAATCGGAAACATAATGTGAGTTTGCAGTCTTCTATGATTCACTGTAATGTAATCATTAATCCACGTGTTAATAGAAATCAGATTATTTAAACAGTTGTGATATTTATGAAATTTAGTCATTTAGTTAACTTATAATTTTTGTCCATTGCAATGCATCATGTACAGCAATATAATTTTTTCTTGTTCTATAATATTCCTGTATTAAAATTGGACTATTCAAAAATAATACTTACAGAAATATTTAGTGATAAAGAGATGAAAATCTATATTCAAGGAGAAATTTTAGCTATTGAAGTTCATGTTTATTCAGTAAAACAGAACCTATAATTTCATATTTTTCAATTGGACTTCTGTTATCAATTGCTTGCAGTAACTAATGTCATAATTTTCAAAACATAAGAAAAAAAGAAATCTGGTAAATAAGTAGATTTGAGACAGCACTTTAAATTACTATTTTCTGTGGCTAAAAACAAAGAACAGTCCACTAGAAATATAAAAGTATTGGAACCAACAAAAGTATTAGACTTAATAGATTTTATTATTCAGTCATTTTCTATATAGCAAGCACATGACAAAAGATATAGTTACTAGTCTTCAGTCTCAGCATCTGTCATTTTATGCAGATCACTGCACAGTTTCAACTTTGTGTTATGTATTTTAGCAGTTTTAGACCTATAGTGGAGGTACTTTTGCAACTCATACAGTTTGCAAAATGCTTGCCCATACCAATTTCCCACAGTGTGAGATTGCAAGGCCCAATTCTCAGCTCAGGTAAGGTCCAGTGGAGCTACAGATTTATCCCAGCTGTAGATTTGAATCTGTTGACGTGCTGAATTATTGTTGATCCCAGTGCAAGTTTCTATGTGTATACTATAAGCATTACAGTAGATGACCTGATGTAGCTCCTGAGTTGTAGCCGTTTAGTTAACTGAAAAAACAAATGTTTACTTCTAGCAGGGCTGCTGAGCCATTAACTGTGATTATTATTAAACTGCAGACACCCCCCCCCGCCATGTTTTAGTGTGCTTATCCATTCACAGAAAAAAATGTTAAGACCCTGATTTTAAGATCTGCATCGCTGTTGACGATTAATGGCAAGTGACAGTCAAAGCTGAAAGAACAAACCCTGATTTTCAAATATCTGACAGAGTATGAAGAACTGGCAAATCTTAAACTCTCTCCTGCTGTCAGATATCATACTTCTACTTGGACTGCATTTTGTGCATATCGCAAAATTAACTAAAATACCAAATCATACAAACTTAAGAACATGCTTCAAATAAACCTGATTCCTATCGGGGTGCTGATAATTTTGAATATATTAAGACAATGTATTTATCTTATTGATTTAACATTTAAATCTGCAAACATCCCATAGGCCAAAGAAAACAAATAACTAATAAATATGCTGAAAAACTCCATACCTCAGTATGAAATCCTGACCCCTTCTCCAACTAAGTACACACAGTCCAAATACACTGAGAATGCCAAGCTACAGGGGCCCCTCTGTGGGGAAACCTGTATTTCAGTCAGCAGCATCCGTCAGCCAAAACAGAAGTGTAGGGACAGATGCTAGAGAAGGGATGACACTTTAAAGCGGTGGCCGATTTCAGAACGAGTGTGCGTTTCTGCGTGCAATTAAGTCAATGCCATACTTGTACTAACGTGGCATTTTATCCAGGTTTACGTGCAGAACATAATTTAGCACTCTAGGCTCATTTTAGTGTGGGTTTATGGTGCTAATTAGGCTCCTGGTGCTGCAGTCCACCCCGACCGGGCCATCTGGTGTCACATCTCCCAGCAGGGTCGCACAAGGCAATGAAGGAGAGAACAAGCGTGTTGTACAACTCCCTCGACTGCTGCAGCAAATGAATTCTATCACGCCTGGGAGACGATTGCCAGCTTAAAGTCCACAGCTCTTGGCCTAAGGCTTGTTTAGGCAGCCAAGCACTGCACCGGTGCCTCCGACCGGTGCCACGTTCCCTCCATTTTGGGAAACCTCTGCACGTGGCGGCGGCCAGGTTTGAAGGCGAGGTAAAGGCCGTCAGGAAACCACCACGTCCGTTTTCTTTCTCATTGATTAAGGCAGGCCCCGGGGTGGAGGTTCGGGTTAACTTGTTAAAGCCGGAGCTAAAACAAAGCTTCGGTGAGTGTGCAAGCCAAGCAGTTTGACACGTAGTTGCCCGTGAGGGGAAGGACGTCGCAGCGTCCACCTGGGAGCCGCTGTTTATCACCTGGGACCCGTTTATCACCTGGGACCCGTTTATCACCTGGGTCTCGTTTATCACCTGGGACCAGCGTGGGGTGGTGGTGGGGGGCTCTTCTCACCTCACCCTCTGTGCCCCGGCCTGTGACTTTGGAGCCGGTCAACCGCTGTACGAGGGGACATGACAGCCCTCGGCGGGAATGGGGAGACGAGGGCCAGACCCAGCGCCCCCGAGGGGCTGGGGAGAACAGCGGGCTGGGACCGTGGCGGCGGCCGGGTGAGTGGAGGCGGCGAGGGGCTCCGCTCACCGCCGCCGTCCCCTCACAGGAGGAGGAGGAGGAAGGGGGGGGCGTCGCCGCCGCTGGGAAGTGCGTCACGGCGGGAGCGCGCCTGCGCCGGAGGCGGCGGATTCGAACGGCGGCGGTTGGGCCGGTCTCGGCGGTAGCGGCCTGAGGAGGAGGAGGATGAAGCGTGCGGCGCCCCGCAGCACTCTGCGGAGGATAATAAAGACGCACAAGCCGCAGTTACGCCTGGCGACCAACGCCGACCTGCTGGTGAGGAAGGAGAAGGGCGGGCGCCGAGCGTTGCGGCCTGGAGTCGGGTGCGGGCCCGCTCCGCCCGCCCCTCAGCCCCTCAGCGCCGGCGGCCTCCAGCCTGCCTTCCGCCGGTGCGGGCGGGGGCCGGCCCGCCGTCCTCTGCCGCTGGGGCAGCGCGGGCGAGCTCAAGGGGTGAATCCTCGAGCTCCAGGAGGGCCCCCCCGGCGTCGTGGCGCAGGGCCGGGGGCGGTTGTGCTTTCGGCGGTGGCGGGCGGCTGCAGCCGTGGTGGTTGCCTGGGGGCGGGTGTCCCTAGACGGGGACGTGTGGTCTCTAAACGTTTTTATCGCTCGAGAGACGTGGACGCGGTGGGCTGTGCGCGCTGGAGCACGTTGGAGTTGCTGCGGAGTAGTGGGATGTCGAGTTACTTGCTACTCGTGGTGTTTCTGCAGTGAGCTACAGGCAGAGAGGAGGCAACGTTTGCGGGGAGAGGGACGATTGGTTAGTCTAATAAAATACTAATAAGTAGCGATTGCAGCTTCCTGCTTCGCTGGTGGCTACTGTAGTGTACGTTTCTGACAGTGAGTTTGGGGATTCAGGGACAGGCTGATGCATAAATATTGTGTCACTACATGTAACGCTGCTGTTCAAAGAGCTCAGTGTAGACGGACTGAGAAATAGGAATTCGGATTATGTGGCTGTAACGCACAGATGTTGTTTATGTAGAGCAATTTGGCTGTACAGTTATCAATTGGCTGGATTGTGATTAATGAGTTGCTAAGCTGTTAAGGCATCCTGAATGATCATATTTTTGTAGAAGGCCAGCTAAGTAATCTCCGTCCAAAATGAAGGAATGACAAGTCTTGTTATTAACCTAAGAAGGAGAGTAAGGTGTTGGGGTCCTGCTCATGGTTTAAAAACACCTGCCATAAAGGTGTAGGGATAACAGAGCCATATCGAACAAGTTTCAGAAAACTAAGGCCAACAAAGCTGGATTCCTTCTGACCTGCAGTGGGGGATTTGGGGCACAGGAGGGGTTTGTCTCACCAAGAAATCACTTGACTACAGCAAGGAAACCTGACCTAAAGAGAGCTTGTGGTAGCTGCCATCCTGAAAAATCCCCAGTATTTGTGCATTAAAAAAATATTCTTTGAAGTGACTTAATAGGCTTAGCTTGCTTGACTGTCACACCTTCTTGTTTTCAAATGCATGTGATTTGTCAGAGCATTAATGCATACTGTACACTAGTGTGGTCCCTGACTTGAATTGTAAGTCCACATTTCATATGTGTATAAAAGTTGTGTCTTGCAGCAGCGTGAAGGTTGATATCTGGATATATGAGGCTAAATATAAATACACAAAATTAATGAGATTAATATGAACAATATGGTAGTTACATGAGAGGATTTACATTTGAATGTAAAGAGTACTTATTTTTTCTAATTGGCCTAATAAAAATAGGAGCTCTTCCTACTGCTTTTGCTATCTTTGAAGTATTTTTACGGACTAGGGACCTGGCCCCTTGCTCAGACCCACTCAAAGCTTACTCAGTAGAATGCAGTAGTCAACTAATCAAAGTTACATAATCACTAATTAATTTTTTTGTAGTCATTGGTAACAGTTGGTCTGTGTTTCCATGGTCATGTTACAGGTAGTGTAGCTGTCTGAAAAGGGCGAAGTGGGACCGTCCTCCAAATCTTGGCCATTGGTTCCCATCTCTTCCTTGTCCTGGCACCAGCATTCTGTGGGCTGCAAAAGACAATCAGTGAATTGAATTGACTGAAACTAATGAACAACAACAATCTGATCTAGTTTAAAATATGGCTGTGAAATACTCATTCCAACACAAAGGATGAGGTGAGAATGAATTTTAATCATGTAGTGGAAGCTTAGATTATCTCTTCTGGTGATGTTAAATTAAATGACACTTAATGTTAGGAGGCTTGGCTTTTTTATTTTACCTTTAAACAGGAATGTCCAGGGGTGGTGATTGCCCATGATGTTCTTCAACTAGGCGTGTGGCTAACAGCTTTTTAGCTCTTTATTTCTATGAATAAATAATCAACACAGCTGGAGTTTTGCTTTGTTTCAAAAAAGAAGAAAAAAAAAAAAGAGAGGGGAGTTTAGTCCTGTAGTTAGACAAGTAACAAGTCTTGAGAGTATGTTTTTTAGTGTCTCTGTTACTCCCTACAAACCTTGTAAGAGTGGTTAGATTGCATACTTTAGAAATTTATATGGTAGCTGTTTTAACAAGATGAAACCATATACATTTTGAGCAGAGTGCTTGTGTCTTCTGCAGGGAAATATGAGAATTGGCTAGTTCAGTTTCTGGACTATCTTCCTGAATGATCCATGCTTTCTGTTTGAGTCTACTGTGGTACTTAGCCAGTCCACTGAGGAGGTCTGCCTACCTGGCTTATGATATAATCAGATTGTTTTCCTTTTCCTGACCTTCAGCGATTATTTTTCCTCAATAAACCAATGTCTTCTTACATGATCGTTACTAACAAGTTTGAAAGACATAAGAATTCAGATAATTTTGTTAAATACCTGCATGGAGTTTCTTCTTCACTTTTCAGATTCTTTTGATCAAGTCTCTTTCTGAAATTTGAAGCTTTGTCAGAACCTAAGTGTTAACATCTTTCTCTGTGCACAGTGTAGCTAACAAATTTCATCAAACTTTCTCAAGGTGTGTGATAATATCTTTGAGAGAAGAGATAGGAATAGTGTTTAAGGTTTGTCCAATGCTCTTACCACTCGGTTATTTACCTTTTTGAAAATAAGAGGTAAAGATTAAGATTTTAGTACTGAAGTTCAGATATTCCCCCCCCCCCATGGTGTGAGAAGAAAAAGCTGCAAACTTTGTTCTAGCTTGAAATTATAGAAGAAAAGCAGGAACTCAGCTGCTTGTTTTATGCTAGAAGGGCAGGTTTGTATTTACATTGCAGAAAAAACTTAAAGTATTGCATTGAATGACCCCTTTTTTCTTTATCGGCATAGAATGATGAATTAGTGTACACTGAAGGCAAAATATCAGTCTAAAGAATTGTTCTGAAGTCATGGCAGCAAAACAAAATTACGGAGCTTGTCCCTACTATTCATTAGTTCTGTTGAACAGGTGTGTGGAAGTTGCTCTGCAAGCAGTGTTTTGAGTTTTTACATATGTTCTTAAAACTTTGCAACCTTTCTCTTATGGGAAGTAAGCATTCTGTTGTGTAAGGTGGTTTTCATGAGTAGTTCAAAACTGTTCTTAAATTTTATGCAGAGGGACAATAATCTAATACATAGTAAAGCAATGTCTTTAAACAAATGTGGTATCACGTAGGTACTTTTCAGTAACTGTCCCATTCACGGCATTCAGTCGTTCTGCCTTTCGTTAGCCTTTCTCAATTGCCTTGAATAATCCGGAATATTTATTAACATGTGCCCTACTGTGGAATGTTCTGATTTTAGTTATGTGACTATGTTTTAAGTCTATGGGAGTTCAGGGGAAGCTTCTCCACATGAAGCAATTCACTTTGAAAATAGGAAAATAAAGGTACAGTGATTCTGAGAGAAGATGCAGTTTTTAAAGGTGGTTTTAAAATTAACACTTTTGCCTTTAGGTATCTCAGCAGGAGGACTTGCAAGTGTGGAAGCTTTTGTTCTGCCTCCCTCTTCTCCCCCCATGTTGTTTCCAGAAATCTAACCTCCTTGTTGATAAGTCTAATAATGAGAGTTCTAATGTTGAACACTATTTTAGTGTCACTGCTTGATTCTGTCGGAGGTTATTTCTGTGTGAGTAACTAAAGACTAGTTTAAAAACGGCTTTGATATTTTGCTAAGTAAATCTGCAAGAACATCTGCTTTTTGTGTAGTAAATGCTTCCAAACGATGCCAAATATTATGCAAATTTATCTATTGCACGCTGGCTTCATTTAGTTCAGGAGTTAAAAAAAAAAAACAAACCTAAATTGCTTGTCATATGAACACTGAAATGCCTGTCCTCTAACAGATTCTTTGTGCTGCAAACCCACTGCCAAAGTATTTCCTATAAACTCTAACTTGTAGCTTTCCTTGTTGTATCTTATCTAGGCTTTGCAGATCAGGTATGGCAGCATAACTATATCACCTAATTCATATAAATAAAACTGTCATATATTTCAGTAATGTTTTTCCGAGCTCTTGATTGAAAAAGTATTTTGTACACTTTACCTAGCAAAGTTAATATTGTTTGAAAGTTTAATTTAAAAAAGGTGCAATTACCAATTTTTCAGGTTGGACTGTTAAAATAGTTCACATAATGTCTGTGTAACACTGGAGGTTTGTATTATAGGTTCCTTATTACACAGGGGTGCTTTTGGCTGGAAGTTTTTAGTCCAAGTTGGAGTAGTAGTTCCTTGCCAGCTGAAATTTTTGCTGCTTCTGTACTAGCAGAGCAGCATTCTGTATTGAACGGAATACTGCCCTACCAGTTCTTTTCATGTAAAAAGGTTAAGTGATGAGCTGGGAAAAAACGGATGGAACCTCCTGACAGTGCAGAATTTCTTTTTCTGGAGAAATTAATGTCAATGCTCCTTTGCACTGGAAAGGGGCAGAAGTCCTTGAACTTGTCTGTGGTCCATTTGGTGATAAGGCAGGGATGAATTTGCTGTTTATTAAAAGTCTGGCTGTTGTAGTCACTGAGAGCTGACTATGTTTACTAGTAAGCAAAAAGGCTCTGTCTTATTTTCTGATATTTATGTTTATATTTTATTACAAAAAACTGCTAATAAAAATCAGATGTGACTTATGTTAGGTCAGTTGTTGTTTGCATGATTGTTTCTAAAGCACTTTTACGATTTAAGTATACTAAATTTAAACTATATCTACAAGAGTCTTGCAGTAAGGAATGTCTTGGGAATTTAAGACTTGAACTGAGTACGTTGTTTTCCTGAAAACACCTTTCAGGAATCTGGAAGCATTCTAATATGCGAATCCTCTGTGTCAAACAATGAACATCTAAAAAACCAAACTGTGCTTAAACAGTTTGAATCCTTCTTTTTTTCTTTCCTTCCCTCTTTTAAAGGTGCATTTGAACTTCTTACTGTTTCTCCATCGGCTAGCAGAAGAAGCCAGGACAAATGCTTTTGAGAACAAAAGTAAAATAATTAAATCTGAACACACTGTAGCTGCAGCAAAGGTAATAAAGCATTTTTAATATTTTTCTTTTTGTTTAATGTAAAATGTATTATGACAGCATATACAAAAGTTTTCTGTATTAGTGTTGGTATGTTTTTATAATCCAAAACCTGCAGAAACGTGATGTTCTTTAGTCCACCATTGGCATAATTCACTGTTACCAAGACATCAAATTAACTCTCCGTGCCCTATTAAATATAGCCCTATTTTTCTTAAATATTCCATGTTTAAATTCATAGTTTCAATATGTGGGAAAGTCTACACAGCAGTCTACCAGCAAGCATCTGTGGGCTGAAAGCCCAGGGAACAGAAGCAAATTCCAAAGTTGGAGGATCTTTATTTCAGATGATACTGTATCAAGGAAGCCTCCTGTCTTAACTTCAGTAATATAAATGAAGCTTTATGGAACGAGTGAGAAATAGTTCAAAGAGGTTCAAATATCTTACACCTTCAGTTCTTACCTGCTTAGTCTGAAGGATGTTTGAAGTGGATTCTTGCAGCATTGTGTGGCTACTGCCTGAACAAACAGATTCTTTGTGTGATGTTGTGTTCGGCAAGGGAAGAGCTAGGAGAGGATTAAACTGTGGATTGCTATATGGGTAGTTCAGCATAACAAAAATTGCCGTATGAATATCTGTGGAGGAGGAATCCTCTGCATTACAGAGCATGGTAAGTTTTGTGTACGTGCAAAAGAAGGGAAAGAGGAAGGCGTTATGCAGCTTTCTCTAGAAAGAATTAGAGTAGTGTCAAAGTATGACCGAAATCCTTTTGTATTCTGTAGCTCATTTCGCTCTCTAGGATATGTCTGCTTTACCTAGGTTTCATGAAGGAACTCAGTCTCTTTAATTTGTTATCTGTTCAACCACCTACTACTGTTAGGCAAATTGGAAGAACAAAACTCAGTGTTATCTAGTATTTGGGTCCTGTGGCTTCTGTTTATCTTCAGTATTTTTTTTTTCCTCTGGTGAAATGTTTAGTTTGATACTTTCTATTACTATAGTAACAGAAATATATACAGGATGTGTATGGTAGCCAAGTGAATGTTACAGTTGGAATCTTATGCATTTGTAATTTCTTTTTAACTGCAATCTTAACATTATTTGAACATTTTTGTGTTCCATTTATCTTTTTTTTTTTTAAGATGAGAAGAAAGGAAAAACTGCCTGTATTTTAATAATGTTAACACTTAAATGGTCCCACTTGGGCTTTGAAGTTCATTTTTCAACTTAAACTCCAAACCAAAAAATGTCCTTCCAAGGGTCTGGGCACTCTTGATATAGAAAGAAATAAGGCATTACAAACAAAAATTGAGCATAGTAGCTGTATAATTGCAAATCTTACTTTTTTTTCTTTTTGTCTAGGCCTAACGGGGTAAGAGCTTCAGGGAATCTGCTGAGGGCTTGAGACCTCTATTGCTGTTTCTCAGCATCCATTTTTAAAATAAGCCTTTTATTTTGCAGAACTCTTGGTTGTGAATGTTCTTATTTAAAAAAACCCCAAACTTTCTGATATGGCATTTTTCTGTATGCTTTTCCTTTATTTCTAACCTTTTCCCTAGACTTTTACCCTTGGTGACTCTGCTCTTGGAAACAGATTGTTTGGCTAGGTGAACCTTTGGTCTGAGTAGCCTAGCGTTTTGGATCTCTTAGTGCTGCCTGGATTGTAGTGATAAAAGTGGTGATAAATATACTTTTTTCTTTTTGCAGGTTATTTTAAAGAAAAGCAGAGGCTAGAAAACAGACCACTGGAATTTCAAAGCATGTTTTCTGTGTTTTCTTACTAATGTGAGATCCTGTGAGCCAGCTTTTGCACTTTTGGAAGTATTTAGTTTTATTGATGTCTGTCTCCTGACTCTGAGTATCTTGCTGTTTCTTTAAAAAAAAATAAATTTAAGAATCTTAAAATGTATATTTTCATACACTTCATGCGTAATTTAAAAATGTGTGTCACTTTTCATTTAAGACTTTTCATGTACCTTGTTTCTTCCAAAACAATGGAGGAATGCCTATACCGTAGTCACTCTTCAGGTACAATGTGTCATTTATTTTTAGAAGTGTGAAACTAATCTGAAAGATGCAGGTTTCACTAAATCCATTACAGATTATGCAGTTCAAAGCAGATTTACTAGCTAAACAAAATTGTGGCTTTAAAACAATTGCTGTACAAACTAGTGTATTAAATAGCTTGGCTTTAATTTATTTATAAGTGTCTTAACATTTTTTTTACATTACTTTGAAAAGTAGGCTAAAACTTCTCTGTTCTGGGGAAAGAATACGTATTTTGTATTTCTAAATCATGCTCTATTGTTTGATGTGGTGTATGAGACAGGTTGGTGGTCTCTAATTCAGTTGGTGCGGACAGATGCGCATTATGGAAAAGAAAAGATTTAGCACAGCTGATATTTTTGAAGTTAGATCCTGTACAAATAATGAAGATAAGTTGGCATGAGTGCCAAGCTACTTCCTCTCCCCTTTTGAGTGTCATCGTAACTTGTCAAAAGTCTGGAAATGTACTTTATATAAAAATATCTTTCTAAATTAAAATAATATTCCTAATCTGATATTTTTAAACAGTTGCTGAACACTTTGCTTAATAAATCTTTTAATAAAGATGTAGCTGAATCTTACGGTTTGAGCTGATAATACAGTTTTGTGGAATATGTGGTAGCTGATCCTTCATATGCACAGTGAGCTATTCTTAAAGAATTCTTAAAAACATGTATTGAGTAGTCTAATTTTGTTTAACATGTTACTGAGTATATTCTAGAAATTCAGTGAAAAAGAATTACATTTTATAAGTATTTTTATAGTCTAAGGAAACTGGAGCAATGCCAGAACTTCAAATTTCATATCGTGTCCACATACTTTTAAAACTCCTGTACAACCTATGAAAAGTTATCCTTTTACAGTATGCAGAAAGGATTGATGACTCTTCTGCTTTACTTAACTCATAGGGCTTAGTTCAGTCTGCTTCTTGTAAGGTTGACTAGATTCCTTATTCTGCATTTTCTTCTCTTACTCACTTGGAATCCACAAAGAAAGCTGAGAACATATATGTGTAGAGGACATTTGGACTTAATAATCTGAAGTACATTCTCAGAAATAAGGGAGATCTGACTAGGTATTTATATTTTTCTTTGTAATTACTGTCTGTGATTTAACAATTTTATTGCAACACTAGATTTTCCTTTGTTATAAATGTTTTCTCTTAATTTTTCCCTGAAATATTTTCTTAGTCTTGTACAACCACATACCTTTCCTCATTGTACAGTTGTTTAAGTGCTGTAGCTTCTTTTGGAACTTGTTTTGATGTCCACTTTAACTTATTCTGTTTTGATTTGCCTAGGAGCAAGATCCACTCTGAGCTTAGTGGAATGTTCTCATTCTCATGTAGTAGATGGATGATCAGCTACCATTGGGGAAGGGAGGCGAGGAGGGGTTAAAACCAGCCACCAGTGTACTTTAAAAATATTTTATATGGTGTTTTTGGCCTGTATTCATGGTTAAGAAGGTACCTCTTTTTTTATAGGAGAGGGACTTTTTTTCTATAAGCCCTGAGAAGTCTCAGTCAGAATGTGTCCTGTCACTAGATTGCCAGTACTTTGTGAACATTTTGTGATAGCTGAAGCAGGCAGGTATTCAGAAGACCTGAATAACTTGGCAGGTATTCAGGTTTCTCTCTTAAACTTTAAATAAATGCATACTGAAAATTAATGTGGTTGATGTAGTGTGATTAAGCATTCAGAAATATAGAATGCTATTATGTTTTTCTAGTATCTTCTTGAATGTTCATCATAATTTATGTTCAATTATATTCACATTTGGCAGCTCTTCTGTACTCCTTCATGTATATACATAGGGTCTCTTCTCTACCCAGTACTCCTTACTTTGTTTTTTAAAAAGAAAACTCCTTACAGTAGCGATATCTAAATACCCATGAACACTTCCAATTAATATAACCTTGGAGGATATACTAATAATCTCTTTTCTGTTATCGAATCTCTGTTTAATGACGAAACATCAAAGCATGTAGTTCTAGAAAAATGTCTTTTTAAACTAGATCTGTGGTAGAAGGCCTAATGAAGTTTGGTTCTCATATTTGAATTCCTGGTTGATTCTCTGCTGTTAGGAGGAAAAAGGCAAGGGTTATTGAAGAAAGAGGCATGCTGATGCATTAGTAAGGTGTGTCTTCTGCTCAACTGTTTTCATGAAACCTTGAGGAACTGAGTGTTCAGAAACCATTGAGACTATTGACTCACTGTTGAATTTCCTCTGGTTTTAAAGGTAAGATTCAAGAGATTTTAGGAAGGAGAGGTGCTCAGACAATACCATTATGACTCTTGATTTCCTCAGGAAAGCAAGATAGGCAGCCTAAAAAATTAAAGGCACACTAAGACATTATCCAGTTTTTCCATTATCTTTCTTCTCTTTGCAGCTTTCCCAGTGTTGTTCTGTTTCACATCCTACCCTGCCCTTTCACTATGACCATCAATGAAAGAGGGAAAAGTCAAAATGAAGAAGTAGAAGAATTTGGCAAAAGTACTTCTGGTGGCCCTTGTTTTTGTTTTCAGCTTTTCATGTAGCTAATGTTAGTCCCTGGGCCAGTGAGTGGTATCGCGAGTGATTAAGGCACAAAAGAAGAAAAATGTTTATTGATAAGGAGGTGACTGAGGGGAAGAGATTGTTTTCCCTAGTGGGGTGGTGCTGCTGCTATTTTTGTTTCATCTCATGTATGGAGTGACTGATGAAAGAGGATCTGCTCTTTTCCAACTTGAGTAAGTCTTCTCGTGAGGAGTATGCACTATTCCAGCTCTCATGGTCACATCATTTTGCTCCCAAGATAAGCGAAGAGAGAAGATAGTCGTGAAAGCTTTAAAACTAGATTCATGCATACTTTTGTTTTAATTTGTAGGGCATAGAAGTTTAATATTTTCTGACTGGTATAAATCACCTGATTATTAGGTTAAAACTATTAAAAAAAAAAAAAAGTCTGACTATTAAGAATGGTATATCAGTGAAGGTTAGATCTATGGAGACATCTAGCTGTTTAACTCCTAATGGAGTCAACAGGAATATATGAATTTGTATACTTTTGTGGGTCAGGGCCTGCCCATATAATCACTGTTCTATTTGAATCCAAAGTTATGTTGGATCAAGTCTACTGTTTTGATTCAGAAAATCGGCACATGTGCTAGAGAGGACATTCGTGCCTTGGAGTTTCATTGTGCTTGTATGTGGAGGAGTGCATCATTGCTAAAAAAGAATCTTAAGTTGCATAATACAAATAGTAAATATGTCTGGCTATAGTGATACAGTAAAGGGAAAAAATTCAGAAATATGTATGCTGTAGTAAGAAAATTCTTTTTCTAGCCATAAGGTGGGGATAGAGCAAAAACTGTCTTTTTCTTCCCTGCAGTAACTTCCCATTAGAGAAAATAATCTGTTTATGCCTACTAAAAAGTATACTATAGGTTGTGACACTTCCAGATACTCTTTTGAAGACCACTAAGCCTGCACTGCTGACATATGTAGGGCAATTAATGTTTAAAAAAAATTCTGATTCACACAAAGGGTATTTTGTTCCATGCTGAGATGGTAAAAGTTAGATATGCGAGGCTTTGATGCATCTTTAAGATTTTGCTTTCTTCAAAGCCCAATGTTTCGGCATCAGGTAGTTTTGTTAGGTATAGGTCTATAGTTATTTGTACAACATAGCCCGGTTTTTAGAAACTGGTGTGTTCTATGGGCAGTTTTATGCAAGAGGTTTTTGTACAGGACATTGCTCATATAGCAGCCTTAACTATAAAACATAGCTCGTATTGGTTGAGTTGCTGACTCGGCATTCCATTAGTCTTTTATCAGCTTAGAACAACTAATGATAGGGCATTGTAACCCCTAAATACGTAGGGTTTTGAGGGTCATGACTTACGAGTATATATTTAGGAAGTGTGACTTATATTTCAAATAAAAGTGCTGATTACAGTAAAACAAAATTCCTCTTTCCAGAGTTGTAAACTATATGTCAAATTTAAGTTCTTCGGACTGTTTCAAAGCACAGTGTGTAGTTGTATTTCAGTTCAATATACTATATATATGTATTGGAACATAGATTCCTTGATATATTTTAATGGTACTGTACTTGTAGCTGCTGTGGTAGCCTACTTGCCTATGATAAAAGAGCTAATAGGACAAATTTTTTGCATGTTTGAGTAGTTTCAGTTCTAGGGTGAGAAGATGCTGACAGCATTTTTGTTGTGCTAAACACAGAATTGTTACTTTTTGAGGAAGTTGGTGAAGAGTCTTCCCACCTGTCAGCTCGTGGTTCTGCAGATGTAGTCAGTTGGAATTCATTCATTAACTGTTTGGTGAATAATGTTGGGGGGATGTCACTTTCTTTACAGTCCACATTCATCAAATTCACTTGGGCTTTGGTACATAATACTCTCCTGTGGGCTGGGTTATTAATGTTATCCTGACCAAACTGCTGAAAGATCTTTCTAGGTCATTTGATACCTGTAAGATCAAGTTTCTTACGGAGAAGGTCATTTTCCTGGGGGAATGATTTCAGTGTGGGGAGAACTTGGTAGAGCATAGAAAAACGCCTAAACAGCCCTAAAATTACTTCTCTGGTTTACAAAAGAAATGTAGACACAGCCTTACTACTAGGTAATAACGTGATTGCAGCAGTTAAATAAAACCAAGAGCACTTCCTACAGGAATGGCTTGCTCTTAACCTCCTAGTACTAGGTCAGGCTATACAGAAACAGAGACTCCTATTTTGTTTCCTAAGTATGTAGAAAGCACAGGAAGAGATGTATTTTGGCAATGGAACAGATCCTGAATCAAAAATTAGAAAGGGCAAACACTTCCAAATACATAAAATAAGGAATAGGGTTGGATTAGCTGGAGATTCTAATCCCTTATATCAGGTTTAAATTGGTCGAATTGTATTTATGCTCTAAAACTGACAGCCTACTTTGAATTTTTTTTTATTTGTTTAACTTCAGCAGGTAAGTACACACACAGATTAGATTATGTAACTGGAATCAGTTTTAATGAGATTTGTGCAAGTTTTACAAATAAACCAGATAAAGAAAAACATTTAAGTAACATGTAAGCCAGTTTTTAAAATTCTATTGCATAGCTGAAATCTTCTTAGTACAAGCAAGCCTCTAGTCCTAGCTGTTGGAGGGTGGTAAAAGCTGAAGTTAACGTACTGATGGTAGCTTACATTTAAACATATTTAAATTCTTTATTCTTCAGTTTGTTTTCACTCTTCAGAGAAAATTATGTGTGT